AACCAGTGTCTCATTTATATCAGCAGTAATCTCTAAGCCTTTTCAAGAAACTTTGGGCCATTCTTGCTTTGGATTTAATCTCTTCATGTCAAAATAACTTTTTCTCATTTTATATCAAGAATCTATTTTGAGGGTCCCTGGGTGGTGCAGCGGTTTAGCGCCTGCCTTTGGCCCAGGGCACGATCCTGGAGATCCGGGATCGAATCCCACGTCGGGCTCCCGGTGCATGGAGCCTGCTTCTCCCTCTGCCTGTGTCTCTGCCTCTCTCTCTCTCTCTGTGACTATCACAAATAAATAAAACAAACAAACAAAAAAAAGAATCTATTTTGAAAAACCTGTCTTTGGAATATTAGAAATTAATAGTGGGTTTGCCTTTGGATAAATGCAGTCCTTTCCTTATCAGGTGCTAGTTTTGATTTGCCCAAAGTCTTATGACCTACACCAGTGTAATTCTTAGTACTTGCTACCCTTTAGAATTATATGGAGAGCCTAAAATAATGACAAAAACAGGACCAAGGCCCTGCCCCTCAAACAGTTAAATCAAACTCTCTAGAGGGGAAGGAAGCCTAAGGCACTCTTTTAAAAGAGCTTTCTGCTAATGTGTATCCTTAGTTGAAGACCACTCATAGAGACGCTTAATGTTGGGTGTAATTTCCATTAATGGAAGCCTGATATTGCATATTAGCAGCAAAGGACAAAAAAGTCATATAAAAAAGTCATATAAAAGTCCCTGGGAGATTTATGTTGGAATCTTCAAGTGATCAGCAATTAATAAAAGACGACTGTTCCCTTTTGAAATAATATGAAGAGAGGAAAGCATCATGTTCCTACTTTAGTAGACTCTGCCACTAAAAGATCTCAATCTTTTGATACTCTATTGTTAAAATCTACAATCTCATCTTCAATCTTTATTTCTAAAAATATGCTCTGAAAAGAGTTGTGTTCTTTTTTTCTTTTATTTTCTTTTTTTAACTCATTTGTCCAGAAAACCTTACCTGATATGAAGCTATTTGTAGTTCTTTCCTTAGGTTTTTCCCTTATCTCTTTACATTTAGAGTGTTAGTCATTTTTTTTAAGGTCTACTTATTTATTTTAGAGAGAGCTGAGTGGGGTTAAGGACAGAGGGAGAGAGAGGCAGAGAGAGAGAATCCTCAAGCAGACTCGCTTCTGAGTGTGGAGCCTGATGTGGGACTCAACCCCAGGACCTGAGATTACAACCTGAGCTGAAATCATGTCAACTGTCTAACCTACCAAGCCACCCAGACACCCCTTAGAGTCTCAGTTCTTGACTATTAAAGATCTTATTTCAGATAACTTCAGTTAAAAGCTTAGTAATTTAGATCAGACCTGAGTTTGAACACAGTTGGGAGAATGGTACCCTTCCACTTAAATGAATGGCATTGGCCAAGCCCCTTAATCTATTTGACTCTCATTGTTTGTCAGGAAAATAGGAATGACTTCACAAGATTGTTGGAAGACTAAATGAGAATCTGTGTGATGTTAAAGTATCAGGGACCTAGTCAACATTTAACAAAAGCGAATTATTGTTTATTATTTCTAATAATAAGCGAAATCCTGATCCTTCTTTCCTTTTTCCAGTCAACAAACATTTTTTGGGTGTTCACTGTGTCACCAACATTCTGGTAAGTGCCAGAAAAACAACCATGAATAGGGAGACACTGTATGCCCTTCATGAGTTTTCCTTTACTCCTTCATTGGAGATATCCTAAACTAAAACCTACTAATTGAGTGGCTTCCTTAGATAGACAAACACACAATGATAGATTATTGCCTTATTGATGAAGAACTTCTCTAGTTTATAATTTATTCCAAAACAAAAGGCTTTCTTCCAACTACCTCATTAGTTCTATCCTTCTTTCTCATTTACCACCTTACCCACAAATATGATTTCTGGCATATAATGTTTTGGGAAAACCATCACTGTTAGAGAAGTACCTGGTCCTGTCATCTCCCTTTATACTTTCCTTGGATCATTTCTTGCTTTATGTGTTGTTAAAACGTCCAAAGGAGACCAGCTCATTCCTTCTCAAATTCCTGATCTAGCTTACGTTTGGCTGCTCAGGATATCTAGTATCACTAGAAGCACTGGAGAAGGGGATTTTTGGTGATCAACTCAGGGATAGGAAGGAGGATGAACATAGGTTGATTTTATATCTATTTATCAAGCTGTAGTTAAAGAAAGGTGATCAGATAGTATTTCATAGGTGACCATTATCCTATGAAGCCTCAACTGTTGCCTGTTCTTATCTCCCTAGAACCTCTTAGATTAGATTGTTGCCCTATTCGTCTGAATGTGCCCTAAATCCTAAACCTAGATCTTCGAGGCATGACTGTAACTAGTCTAGTGGATTCTCTGCCAGGTTCATTCCTGGTTTTGCACTAAAGCCCATTGGACCAGCTCTAGTGCAGTTTACTTTTAAAGATGAACCAACTGTGAAAGAAATAACATCTCTCAAGGATAAACTGCAGGTTGTAAAATCTATATCCACTTGACATGGATGCTTTATCTATTAACCTGTTTTTCCTTGATTGCCTCTATTTTGTTTTCATATTCCCTGATCTTTCTTTCCAGTTTATCCTTTTTCCTGTCACCCCTTAAATGTAGCTGTTTCTCTGGTCTCCATTATATACTGCAGGTGAACTCTTCTGTACCCCAAGACTGACTCCCTAGAGTCATCTCTGGTACAGAGCTTTTCCGTGATTTTCAGTCCTATATATCTTTTTACTCATGAGAACTCACCTTGAGAGTCCTAGCAGCACCTCACATTTGTTTCCCAAAGTGAACAAATTATCTCTTTAATTCCTACTCCAAGTCTACTCTTCTTCCTATATTCCCTGCCTTTGTTAATGTCATCACTGTAGCCACCCATTTCCCATTCTTTCCTTTCTCTCACCAAGTGCTGTTTGATTCTACTTCCTGGACTCCTGAATTAGTCCTCTCCATCCTTCCTACTTTCCTCATTTCTTTGGTCACCTTTACTGGTACTGAGGAGCCTGTGATTTATATAAAGCATAAATATGATTATGATTCTTCCTCAAAATTATCCAGTTCCGGGCAGGCCAGGTGGTTCAGCGGTTTAGCGCCACCTTCAGCCCAGGGCCTGATCCTGGAGACCCAGGATCCAGTCCCACGTCAGGCTCCCTGCATGGAGCCTGCTTCTCCCTCTGCCTGTGTCTCTGCCTCTGTCTGTGTGTCTCTCATGAATAAATAAATAAAATCTTTAAAAAAAATTTTTTTTAAAAATCTTTAAAAAAAATTATCCAGTTCCTCCCACTCAGAACAAAATTGGCAGATTCCAAACTCACTTTGTGTGCTGGTCTTTGACCTCCTGGCTTCCCCTCCTGCTATGTCCTATCTTCCACTTCTGCTGTACTCAAGGACTGCCCATGTCTTGTCTTGCTTTTATGTCTTTGTATCCATCATTCATTCTCTTCTCTCTCTGCTTTCTTGTCCACCTGTCTAAAAATTGCTTATCTTTCAAGATTTTGCTCACAGATGTTATCTTTGGGAAAATTTCCCCGGGATGTTTCCTTACTTTCCGTATTGCTTTCATAGTCTTACGTCTCAGCACATGTCACACTGTTTTGTGGTTGCATGTCGACATGCCATATTTCATACTAGTCTCTGGTCCTTGAAAGCAAGAGCTATCTTTAATTTGGTAGCCAGAGCCTAGCACAACGTTTGGTAAACAAGAAATTACATGGCAGCAATTGGGTGGTTCTGAAACTATATTATGGCTTTAAATAATGTAAAAAGCTTACCATGTCATTTTAATTCTTATATGAGGCTCTTAAGGTAACCAATACTCAGAAATATTGGAATCTCATTTTTATGAGCAACATGCATTGTAATTGAGTTATTCTTTGAAGTCAAAATGCTTATTCCATACTATATATATATATATATATATATATATATATATATATATATATATCTTTCCAATTAGGAATAGTATATAGAACTATTGAAGTTCTGCCTGTTTTATTTAGCTTAAAATGTCTTACTAAAGGCCAGAGAATCCATCTTAGAACTTGGCTTTTTAATTTTAAATTTAGCAATATGAGAGAAACTGAATAAAGTGTCAAACGTAATTTTCACTTCTATAAATTAAATTTGCCTTAAAATATGTTTAGAATTTAAGGAAAAGGGCATGTTCCTTCCCCTCTGCCTCTGCAAATTTGAGTATAATGGTGCATGGTATAAATTACATGCCGAAACCCCTTCATATTACAATTTTGAAAACATCATGAAGAAATTCAGCCTTCACTGTGACTCAGGCTATCATCAATGTTCTCTTTTTTCTTTTCCTTTCTTTCTCTTCTGGTGGCCCACATTGGAGTTTAATCAACATGTTACTCTGTTCTTAGGGTCAACTGCAAGCAGTATTTTATTAAACTAAGTACTGCTTTTGTAACTCAGTGATTTCTGTTGCCTCTTTAGTGTCACATCAAGTAAAATTTAGTGCTGTCTTCTTTTTGCTATTAGATTTTGTATTTGTGTGGCCTATTGCAAATAGCTGTGGTATAAGAACGTGATAGATGCTCTTAATTTTCTAGTCTTTATTGGTTCGTCAGGATTCACAAGTGTAATCAGGTGAACAAATTTGAAGCATGCCAGTTTACTTGTTGGTGAAGCTGCTTTGTAATCTTAACTGGTTTAGTTGGAGTAAAGGTTTATAAATTGTTTATAAAAACAATCACATGCCTATCATGTAGTAGGTATTAGCCACAATTTACAGGGTATTTTTTCCTGGAGATAAATCTCTAATAATTTATAGCCTCAATAGATTACAGCTAATAACAGCAAATATGTTCTTCTAAAAGTGTAATTTTCTTGAGGGCAAAATATCTTTGTATTTTTGTTAACCATAAGAGTACATTGTTTATAGCTTATGTTTAGTTGTTGGTTGAGTGAATGAATTGAGCCATGCCTATAGGAATGAATAGCTACTAATGCCATTTATCATTTCTGTTTATAGGTATTGCCATTTAATGAAATCTTCTTGCCAGCAAATCTATGATAAAAAAATATAAGTAACGAGGAAACTATAACTGTTATTTGTCAAGTGGCAAGCTTTTAATGCCAGAATGACTCACATAAAGCGACTAGTAAAATTACATCTTAAAAGACATTATCATAAAAAGTTCTGGAAGCTTGGTACAGTAATTTTTTTCTTTATAATATTTTTGATTTTAATGCAAAGAGAAGTTAGTATTCAATATTCCAAAGAGGAATCAAAGATGGAAAGAAATATAAACAAAAACAAGATGTTTGATTTCATGCTAGAAGCTGTAAACAATATTAAAGATGCAATGCCAAAAATGCAAATAGGAGCACCTGTCAGGCAAAACATTGATGCTGGTGAGAGACCCTGTTTGCAAGGATACTATACAGCAGCAGAATTGAAACCGGTTCTTGACCGCCCACCTCAGGATTCTAATGCACCTGGTGCTTCTGGTAAAGCATTCAAGACAACCAATTTAAGTGTTGAAGAGCAGAAGGAAAAAGAACGTGGAGAAACAAAACACTGTTTTAATGCTTTTGCAAGTGACAGGATTTCTTTACACCGAGATCTTGGACCAGACACTCGACCTCCTGAGTATGTTCAAGAATATTCATTGTTTACTGTTTAACATTAGGATTTCAGGGGAGGGGCATCAACTAAGGAGTTTGCTTGTTCTTCAGCCATCCTGAGGCAAAATAACAGCAACTGCTGTTTAATTATGTTTTGCTTATTATTGAGGCTATCCATATCTATTCTTGGTGAGGCGTTGCAAATGTGAAAAGTTGTTACCTTACAAATTAGAAAACTAAATTTTAAATCTGACTTTTGTGGAACCACAAAAAAAAAATCCTTTATCTTAAATGCTTTAGTTTTCTAATCTATTAAGAAGGGAATATGGGACCGGTTTTACAGGGAATGTGGGAGGTAGAGGAGCTATTTCTATTCCTCTGTGTATTGCTATAGAATAAATAGAGATGTTTAAAAAGTGCCAAGACTTTGGAGCTGTTAGATAAGAATATTATATGAACTAAGTCACAGACTTTGTAGCTACTTTCAGTACTGTAATTGTATTTCAGAATGCCCTGTAACCTTTTGTAACCTTTCTTTTAAGGAACAGTGTTGTTAAATTGCTAATTCAATGATGATTTTTTTTTCTCTATAGATTTTTGTGTGGTATCATATGTATAGAATTGTCTCCCTTTACCTTCTGAGAGCCCAGCATTGCTTTTTATGTCACTCTATTTACATGTTATCTCAAGTACACAGTATCTTTACTGCAGTTTCCCTCCAGATCCTACTGTACTGTCTGAAATGTTAACCATTTCGTTATCTTTGAGGTAGTGTTCAAATGCTCTATTTGATTCAAATAGCTAATTGATTCAAACCACCTGTTGATTTGTTGGAAGTATAAGACTGTAAGCAAGCGAAGCTTACACATTTGCTTTCTGATCATGATAGAATTATATTTGGAAGTGAACCTAACTTAACAGACTTAAGTCTATGGCCTCACTCATATTTTTCTAGATTTATGATCATGAATACTTGTTCCAACTATGAATCTCTCAGTTCTGAAGTTGTGTGGATTAGAATTCTGTCTCTCTGTCCAAATCTGTGTGATTCAAGGTTAAGGTGCTCATCATTTTCAAATGAATGTGTGAAGAAACAAGTGAATGTCCGTAAAATATTCTACCTTTATAATAAGGCACAGAATAGCTCCTTTCTTATGTTAATAATTTAAAATGCAGGATTGCATTTGACTGATTTGGGAAGAGGTCTTGACTGAAAAGCAATCCACATCACGAGTCAAGAAGCATAATTTTTATTCTTTGACATGACAGTCACTGTCAGCTCAAGATATGTTTTTTTTTCCCCAATATAACATCAAGGAGCTACAATAATACTCAGTAATGAAATCATTGTAAGTGAAAAACAACTAAGCACTTAAAGAACCTTTTTTGGATAGGAATTGGATACCTAGAACTGTGAAGAATTGATGAAGATTTAACACTTTCTTACTTTAAATTTAACTTATATCAGCAAGGAACACATTTTCGGAAGAATTGCTGATCTTTTCCATGCTCATTGAAAATATAGATCCAAGGGATCCCTGGGTGGTTCAGCGGTTTAGCACCGCCTTCGGCCCAGGGCGTGGTCCTGGAGACTAGGGATCCAGTCCCACATCAGGTTCCCTGCATGGAAACTGCTTCCTCTCTGCCTGTGTCTCTGCCTCTCTCTCTCTCTCTGTGTCTCTCATGAATACATAAATAAAATCTTTAAAATATATATATAGATCCAGAGTCTCCTAAACTCAGATGGTCATACAATTGATAATTTAAAGCACATATCTATATGCTAAATTTTACAAATGTTTTGACTGGGAATATGCAGTCAATTTGGCAAGTTATTTAATTTCACTACTTTAAATGACATGTGGAACAATTTCTAAAGCATAAGTTTAACATGCTTTCTTTGTTTCAGAATAATTGGAGTTTATGAAATCATATGGTGCAATTTTATTATCACTTGCATTGATGATACAACATGACACTTTTACTTGGTATTAGTAGTTATCAGTTAAGCAGATAACTCCTAGCCTAAACTGAAGGAAAGCCTTGCAAGATTAAAGTGATCACATTTTATTTATGTGAATTTTTGTCAAGTATTATATTTAAAATTTCAAAACTTTTTGTAATTCTTGATTAATATATTAGTCACACAAATAAATATTGAGGAAATTGTTTTAATCCCAAAACTCCCTTCTGAAAATGCTTATAAGACAATAAATCATAAGGTTTTTTTTTTCTAAAGGAAAATAGCATGGAATTTTTTATAATTTTAACTTTTAGTTTATGTTGATTTGTAGACCTTTATGTCTTAAAAATACAAGCTTATCTATAGTTGTTTCCTTCTGTGTAATTGTGAGTCCAGAATAATTATGAGCAAGTTTGTGTTTGGACTTTATTTCTAATTGGTAATTTATCCAAAATTCAATTTAAAATAAATCATTTGCTTCCATTTGTCAGTGAGGATGAACGTGATTATTTGCTTCTGACTATGTATGTGTATTTGAAATCATGAAGGCATGAGAGAGCAAAATCACTCTCACTCGTAGCCTTCCTCTCCTTTTCTTACTTAGCAGTGTTGACACACACTGTTAATACTTTATCATCAGTCTAATTCCTTTTTTATCACTACAAACATCCCACCCTAAAGACCTCTCCTCAGAAGAGGATCTGACACACATTCAAACTGAAGTATGGCTATGAAAGTGACTACTGAGAGTTTGTAGGATATCTTTCTTAGGGTGGCTTTCCCAGGCCTCTGGTACCATACTGGGGGCTCTGGTTTCACCATTGACCCTCACAGAGCATTTGAAGTGTGCAAGGCTCTTATCTCTGTAAGTGAATGATTTACTTCCTTATCTTTGGGTTTGAATAGCACTGTTTGATTGTTCACACACTATATTTGAGGTGCCTTTTGACTGTGTGGAAGGATTTTATACTGTCATCTAAAATTGTACAACCATTTATGATTGTACTTAAAGTACTTAAAGATGGTTATTTTATTTATTTATCTTTACCATAGACCACACATATTTTATGTCCCAGGGTTACTCTGGTTTGACAGTGTTGTGAAGCCCTCTACTATATGTTGTATCTTTTGATCTTCACCTCAACTCGGTAGGCAAGGGACTGTGGTCAGCTTCAGTCTCAAAGCCTGGAGACTGTACAGATCCACCCACACCCAAAGGCTTCATGTGAAGATTATTTTCATTGAGGAAGAAATTATAAAAATGAATTCAAGATCAATTTGTAACTAATGTGGTTAACAAATGTGTAGTACCATTAATCAGTCAAAAACTACTTACAGTCTCTATTCTTAGGCCCATCAGTGTTTCGTAGGGCAACAGGATCACAAGACTTTTAACACAGATTTAGGATTTTTTTAAAGATTGTATTTATTTATTCATGACAGACACAGAAAGAGAGAGACATAGGCAGAGGGAGAAGCAGGTTCCCTGTGGAGAACCTGATGTGGGACTTGATCCTAGGACCCCAGGATCACAACCCGAGCCAAAGGCAGACCCTCAAACACTGAGCCACCCAAGCACCCGGATTTAGGATTTTCATTTAAAATTCCTAAGTTTAGTATTTTGAAATGCTAGTATAGATTAGATTATTGGAGCAAAAATTTTAAAACAGCATGGCATATGGCATATGGTAGCAACTTAGTAAGTCTTGCTGAATCATGAACATCATAGAAATTAGATTATATGGTAAGCCATTTTTTCCCTTTTGGTTCCAGTATAGATTAAATAAATTGATTTTAAAACTTGAAAAATATTACATACTTAAGAAAATAAGAATCTCTGCAAAGATAGTCATTTAATAAAGTTGCACTGTTTATAAAATCGCAAGTAATAAGAAAAATGGAGGATTTGTACAGGGAAGGAGAAAAACTTCGATTTTATTTGAGCAATTACAAGTATTTGCCATTTTTACAGGTTGTCTCACCCGTAGGTTATTTTCCCTTTTTAAAAATGCTATTTGTATTTTAGAATTAAACTGTTGAGAAAACTTACAATAGCATATTTTGATTCTTGACATGTAATCTACATCAGTGGACATGAACTTTGTGTAAAAAATTTTGATCTATTTACATTTATATAGCATTAAGGTCAGCTTACATGGAAAAAAAAAGTTATCCACTATTGTTCCTAGGATGATAAAGTTTGAATGATAGAATGATAGAATCATTCCTAGAATGATAATTTTAGTCATGACACAGCTGTGAAATAAAGTAATAAAATTCATAATTGTTCTTCTACTTCTTTGACTTCTAGATGTATTGAACAAAAATTTAAGCGCTGTCCTCCCCTGCCTACCACCAGTGTCATAATAGTTTTTCACAATGAAGCCTGGTCCACGCTGCTCAGAACTGTCCACAGTGTGCTTTATTCTTCTCCTGCCATACTGCTGAAGGAAATCATTTTGGTGGATGATGCTAGTGTAGATGGTAAGAAAGCACATGCAAATGAGGTGGTGTCCCAAGTAAATCCATGGGATTTTGTTCAAAGTCTCTTTTATTATATTGTACTCCCTGTACGCCACCTCAGAACTTAAATATAATACCTTGAATGGTAGGTATCATGGATGAAAGTAGAATCTAAGGGGGTCCATATTTAAATATTTCAGAGTTCAGAAATGTTCGAAGTACCATAATTCATAACCCAATGTAAGACTTTTATCATAAGGCGTAGTGGTTAAGAATACAAACTTGAGCCTTGAGTCAGGCTGCCTTGGTTTGAATCCCAGTTTTGCTCTTGACCAGGTATGTAACTTGGGCAAATTACATAATCCCTCTATGCCTCAGTTTCTTTATCTGTAAAATGTGGGAAATGCCATATTTCTTCAAATTTATTATATAATACATCATTAGTTTATTTACCACTTGAATAAAAAACCCCTCACAGCCAATTAAACTAAGATGCCATTGATTATAAGAAATGTCCAACCATGTAGCATAGAATTGAAGAGATACGTAAGTAATACATAACTCTTAGGTTTGTTTTGAGAATTAGATGAGTTAATATAAATAATACATTAATAATATAAATGGGTAGTTAAAATTATTATAGAGTTATACATTCTGCTTTGGCTGCTAAGTATTGTTTACAAAGTAAAGCTAAATTCTTTAATGTATTTCTGCTTAAAATAACAAGTCACTTGTCAGTTACTAAATTATACATTTTAAATTGGAATCACAAGGTTAATCAAATACCCTAAGTTGCTAAATTTTCAAACATCACGAGTATTTTAAATACCAACCAGATAAAGATTATTTCAACGATCACAAAATTTATTCTTGAACGAGTGGATTTGGATCCAAATTCTTTAAGATCAAATTCCAACTCCAATTACTAATAGCTGTTTCTTCATCTATAGAATGGGAATAGTAATACTCTCTCATCAAATCCAAAACAATATCTATTTTAAGATAAACCATTATTTTATGTACTATGAAGAAAAGAAAATAAAGATACTGTTTATTAAGTGACATATCATCAATAACAAGATGTATACAGACTTAGGGAATTATAATAAGCGAATAAAGCATAAAATTATTAACCTGACTTATTTAATGATTTCTACATAAACTCCAAAACATTTCTATAATTTCAAAATATCGTGAGTGGACTGAGATTCTGTTCTCAGGTTAAATTAACACCTAGGTGGAGTAAGGTTGCTTACCATAAGAGATTTTTGGCCTGGATGTGAAACATATTCACCAAATGGGGACATTTTATAATTCCAGTCCCCTACTTATGGGTACACACTACATACAGATCTCTGATTTGAATTCCCAGTCCTCTTACCCAGGTTACATCACCACTCAATTGTGATTAACTAATTTATTTACTGCTTGAAATGTTCTGAATTTTTTCTGATTCTTTCTACTTGGTCTGCAACCCATAGTTTAAAGTGACATCTGATTAAGTTATGCATGCCTCTCATGTTTTGTCTTAGAAAAGAAAGAAAGAAAGAAAGAAAGAAAGAAAGAAAGAAAGAAAGAAAGAAAAAGGAGAAAAGAAAAGAAAAAAGAAAAAATATGTTCCATCTGGTTTTTTGAGCTTTCTTCTCAGATGATTTTTATTTTGTTTTATTTTATTTTTCAAGCAGTGAGAGATTAGGGACAGTAAGGCTATTTGTAGTAAGCCTTCAGTTGAAGGTAATTTCTATTATTTAATTGTACAAATAAAATTAATTAAAGGAAATCAGAAAAGTGATATCCAATCATGATCTTCCTATTTCATTTTCATTTTTCTTTCTCTCTCTTAATCACTGTCTAAATAAACACATAATGTTTATCTAATTATATCCATGTCAGAAATCCAAATTTGAAATGTGGCATTTTCATATAATAATATTATTAGTCCATTTCTCTCACCTTCAGAACTTTATTTTTGCTGACGGTGATGGACCAGATGCATTTTACTTAACCATTCACCTTCATTCACTCCGAGTGTCAGTATACCTTACACTGTAGTGAATATCCTTGTGCTTATGTCAGCTTCCTCTGTTTGAATTGTATCTTTGGTTAAGTTAGGCTGCTTGGCCAAAGGGTCTGGATATTTTTATAATTCTTTATAGCAATTAACAATACATTTGCAACAGTTTCCTTGGTGGGGGATATCTTTGCATACCAGTGTAACTCATTTGTCTCATTGAATCAAAGATCTATCTGTGGAAAATGTGTCCTTAGTCACTGTAAAGGAGTTTGTGAGGTAGAAACAAACTATAGCCCCTGATTTCGGTTGGTTTAGGGAAAAGCAGCAAAAATATGTGGAAAATCAAGTGACAAAGAGATAAGTAAGTCCCAATGGTAGTAAAACAAAGATAATCCATCATTTTCAGAGAGTAGGCCATGTGGTAAGCCCTGCCTTTAAATGCTTTATTTGTATAGCAATCTTTCAGTTTAGCCTCCCAGCAATCCCTTGTAAGGGTGTTATTATCCTCATCTTAGAGATAAACTGAGGTGCGGGTAAAATAAAATAACTTACCTAAAGTCACACAGCTAAAAGTAATGGTGCTATAAATAGATAAACCCAGGAAATCTGATTGCACAGCTTTGTGCTCTTAACCTCACAAAAAGATGGGCATGGGTGGGTGCTGAATTTAGGCAGATTAAAATATACAGGAAGTTCAGAAGTTGTAGGTAAATTAAAAATTCCTTAACACATCAAAGAGTGGAGCAGTTTACTGAAGGAATCTGTAGTGACTCCATTAAAAAAAAAAATCAGTCCCATTAAGGCCTTTGAAATGTTTTCTGTGTTTTTTTATTTTATTTTATTTATTTATTCATGAGAGACAGAGAGGCAGAGATACAGGCAGAGGGAGAAGCAGGCTCCATGCAGGAAGCCCCATGTGGGACTGGATCCCTAGACTCTGGGATCACGCCCTGGGGCCAAAGGCAGAGGCTAAGCCACCCAGGCGTCCCCTTTGAAATGTTTTTATATAAGTTTCTATTTTACAAGTCAAGCCTATGATTAAAAGAATATCGGGATCCCTGGGTGGCGCAGCGGTTTGGCGCCTGCCTTTGGCCCAGGGCGCGATCCTGGAGACCCGGGATCGAATCCCACGTTGGGCTCCCGGTGCATGGAGCCTGCTTCTCCCTCTGCCTGTGTCTCTGCCTCTCTCTCTCTCTCTATCATAAATAAATAAAAATTTAAAAAAAAGAATATCCATGGTTTATATTTTAAGACAAATTACAGCCCTGCTTGTCTTTCAGAGAATTAATTCTGAATACTTAGAAGGTGTTAAAAAGTTAAGTCTATTACTCTATGGTAACAACATTTAGATTTAGTTTCCACAGAAGTTGTTTATGACTCTCACCTCCTTTATGAATGTTTAAGGTTTGAATAAGCAACTCATTTATCGGTACCACTGGAGGATAGAAAAAAAATTATATAATCACAGATAAAGTCATCTTCACTGGCTTCTGAAATCTGGCAGAAGCAAACATCTACCCCAGGACATTTATTGATGTTCTCATCATTCCCTGATCTTTTTGAGGCTGTACTACTATAGGCCTGAGAAGGCTACCTAAGGAACTATATTATATACTCAACAAAGAATCAAGAATTTAGTGGTGAAAAAGCAGACTTAAAAGTTGTTTCAAGATATAAGCAACACTTGACTGACGTGATCAATGTATTTTACCTACTGTTTTAACTCTTGCTTATCATGTCTCTCATCCAAATTGGAATGTTGAAAATCTTAAATTATGTACCCATTCATAAGAGCCTGTTTTTAGCTTCATTCCTGACTTATATGCTCCTTTCTCCTGTCATATTTTTGCTAGGAAAAAAAAATTGTGTGTCAGAGGATTCCAAAGCTTTCAAAAATTTATGCTGACTCTGAGAAAATATTCCCAAACTGCTCTATAGCCTTGGGCTTTCCTATTTGCCATTTTACCTGAACATTTTGGTTTTAATTTGTTTTGATCACTGCCTAAATATCAGAGAATCCTCTTGATACTTGGTATTTTTCTTTAAATTTCCAGTTTTAAATCTCAATTTTAAAAAGTGTCAAATGTATTTTTAGTCAAATTCAATTTCCTTCCCTCTCTTAGCTAATGTTCTTAGATTCCCAAATGAGTCTTCTTAAGTCCTGGGGTCTACTGCATTAGAAGTCTCTCCTTTCCCCAAATATATTTATTGCATGTACATGATAAGTTTTATTATAAACGTGTGTTATAGTAATTCAGAAGTTAAGATTTGCATATGTAGCTATTTCTTTCATTAAAGAATTAGAGATATAATTTTCATCTTAATAGAAGAATGTGTGCAACTGTTAAGATGACGAATGTGGAGATGTCATTGCCCTGTGGTTTCTTTATTACTTTTCATATGTTATATGTGAATATAAACTTAGGAAGAATTAATCCTGATACTTTTTTTTACAGAGTACTTACATGATAAATTAGAAGAATATATAAAACAATTTTCTATAGTAAAAATAGTCAGACAAAAAGAGAGAAAAGGTCTGATCACTGCAAGGCTGCTAGGAGCAACAGTTGCAACAGCTGAAACACTCACATTTTTAGATGCTCACTGTAAGTATATATGTACATATTTGTAACATTTTCCCTCTGCTTCCCTCTATTTTAAAAAGCGAAGAAGCCTTTTCTTTAAATGATTAATTGTATCTTCTTTAACATCATTTTCAACTGGTGATCATAGCAATGACAGCCGAAGCAGATTACAGCTCTGGATAGGAACCTCCTTGCACTTACATGGAGTTCTTACCTCCTCCTCCAGAGGAGGCTCCAATATCCTTCAGTGATCAACTTGCACAGCAAGTTATTCTTGCCTGAGCTTTTTTTTTTTTTTTTTTTTTTTTTCAGATCCTCATTCTGTTAAAAAAAAAAAAGTGTTTTTCCTTGTTATTGCTGATTCTTACAGTCTAAAAAGAATGAAAGTTTTAAGCGCAATCGTCTTTAAACTTTGTCCTAAACAAAACAAAACAAAAAACAAAAATCTTTGTCCTAGTCCTAATACTTTCAATTTCCCTATTTCAATTCTTTTTTCAAAGATTTGCACATCCTCCTGAGCTAAGTTAGGGGTATCCCCTTCCAACTTCTGGGGTATCTTTTCTATGAATATTATCAAGTTTTGTTTGTTTTACTGCTACTATTTTTTATTTTGTTTTTAATGGTTTTGTTCTCCAGTGTCAATGATTTTATTTTATTTTTTTAAATTTTTTTATTGATTTATGATAGTCACAGAGAGAGAGAGAGAGAGAGAGAGAGAGAGGCAGAGACATAGGCAGAGGGAGAAGCAGGCTCCATGCACCGAGAGCCCGATGTGGGATTCGATCCCGGGTCTCCAGGATCGCGCCCTGGGCCAAAGGCAGGCACCAAACCGCTGCACCACCCAGGGATCCCCAGTGTCAATGATTTTAAATGAGGTATATGGCAAGTATTTTTAGAGTCCGTATTTAAAGTTCCCATTAGGGATTACTAAAATGTCACTTAGTCCTTCAGCTATAAATTTAGTGGGTTATCCTTTTTATATGAGTATTTAGTTTTGAACTGAATTGGCTAGCCCTTAGATTATGTTTGACCTGGCAAATGGTTTTGGTTATACGCTAATTGTTAGAGAGTGCTTTTGGATTTGCTTGGGTCTCTTTAGAGCCAACAGACCCAGTACTCTCCTAATACCTGGCTCTTAAATGAAGAGAGGTCTGAAGGTATTCCAAAAGAGGTGTTTTAAAAAGGAAATGATTCATTCTCCAATATTTCCTCTCCTGCTCCAAAATTACAATTATGTCAGACTGGATATTCTTCCTCTCAGGCAAATGTATCTGATGACGATCTTGATGCCAAGTGGTCCTCCTAGTAACTGCCCAACGCTGCCCTCTGCCTGAAGGGAATTCCTGAATCTCTGGAATTCTGTGTGTTAAAACAGGAGTCACGTCTGTAATACTAGGACCCACTTTCCGATAGGCCTGGGGCAGGTTTGAATGGTCCTTCTCCAACTGCTGAAATCAGAATATTCTGACTCCTTAACTTATTTTCTCCTAAGACTCAGAAATTAGGATTTTGATTACTACACCTTAGGGAGACCAGTTTAAATCAGAGCACTTCTGGGGTTAGGTGGCAAAAAGTTGCCTTTGACTCATGGCCCATTTCATGGGGAAACACACCATCTGAAACTTAAATACTCCAGTGTTATTTTACTTCCTCACTAAGGTAAAAACAAAACAAAACAAAAACAACCCTTGTGTAGTAAATTTTCCCAACTTTGCTGATTCTTCCTTTACCATTTTCATTCTACCTTCAATCTCATCATAAGAAACCTTTAAGAAATCTCCTCGGTGTTAAATGTTCAAAACACAATTGACTATTCTTCTCATCTCTCTAAACCGTCTTTAAAAAAAAAAAAACAAAAGAGAAAACCCTCAGTGTTTTCATTGGACTGATTAGAATTGTGTCCCTTCCAGGTGAGTGTTTCTACGGCTGGTTGGAACCTTTGTTGGCCAGAATAGCCGAGAACTACACGGCTGTAGTGAGTCCGGATATTGCATCCATAGATCTAAACACATTTGAATTCAACAAACCTTCTCCTTATGGAAGTAATCACAACCGTGGAAACTTTGACTGGAGTCTTTCATTTGGCTGGGAATCGCTTCCTGATCATGAGAGGCAAAGAAGGAAAGATGAAACCTACCCAATTAAGTAAGAGGATTGCTCTCAAAGTCTTACAAGTCAGTTCAGTTATTTGAATATGTATGCCCTCTTAGCTTTCTACACTTTTTGCCTCCATGGTAATTCTCACTAACGAAATAAAGAACACACACATTCTATGAAGGGAATAGAAAAGCCACTTATGTATATACTTACTTACAAATGATATTGCCAAGTCGGAGGTAGAAGTAAATGAGGCCTTTCATCTTCCTCATAATCATCACTTCAGAATCTTTGGGCTTGGTCAGAAGATACGTCATAATTTTGTTCTGCTGGGAGAAGATACTTAAAGTGCTTCCCTTCCCCCACAAATCATGAAACTGAAGATAGCATTTTTAGTCTTTATTGTAAGACTGTAAAAAACCTTGGAAATTGTGATCTCTCTTTAATTTCTTTGTGAATTTGATTCAGTTGCTCTTTAAGCTCTTTTTTCTTATTTAATTTTTATAACAAAGTTTGACAATGGATTATTTTTCAGAACACCCACTTTTGCAGGCGGCCTTTTTTCCATATCAAAAGAATATTTTGAATATATTGGAACTTACGATGAAGAAATGGAAATCTGGGGAGGTGAAAATATAGAAATGTCTTTCAGAGTAAGTTCATAAATTAGTACATTATATACAATATAGTAAACATTCTGTTCTAATTGGCTGATACAGATCATAGATGTGTGCAGCCTTTACTTTTTTGTGCTTTCTAAAATTTAATTGCTAGAAATTTTAGAATAAGGGTATTTCTTTTAAAATGTAACTTAATATATTTACTCGTTGCTGCCAGTGTAACAAGAGGATTCAGTTAAACGCCTGTGTCCAGCCAATAGCACCAATTAATGCACTTGTAGCTACTGAATTCTAGCCAAGATAAATATAATTCAATCTAGTGCTTCAGGAAATGAGTTGATTATCAAGGGAGTCAGAATGGAAAAACATTTATGTATAATTTTTAAAAGACATTAACTCTTGGGATTAAATGAGCTTTTTTTCCCTATGCATATTAAAAGTTAATATGAGAAACAAAACAAACTCTGGATGGCCTCCACATATACTTATTTAATTTCATGAGTTTATTTTCTGCAAGGACTCTCTCATTCATCTTTCATCCTTCAGACTGGAACGTAGTGGGAAAATAACTAGGAGTTAGAAGATTTAAGTTTTAGCTCTGGTTCCATCACATAATGGCAGTGATGATCGTAGCCAAATTTGAACTGCTCAAAGGAGGAGTCTTTTTTTATCCATTTAAGTATTTCCGACCCCTAGCACATGTTAGATTTCAGGCACAATTTGTTGAATTAAAAATACCACTGGGTTGTCTCATTTGCCCTAATACTAGCACAGATTATTAAACATATATTCATTTTAGATTCTTTTGCTTAGTGACTATTTATGGCAGAACTGATTGCTAAGATATTTAAGTCAGTAGGTATTGATTTAATAATTTCCCATTTTATTTAGAGTTAATGCAAATAAGTGTTTTTGGCCCTCTGTTTCTAAATAGGTGTGAATTTTTTTGTAATGACTGAGTACTGTACAAGTTTAAAAGATTGTACTTGGTTATTATTTGGACTTCTTTCTCTCTCTCTCTTTTTTTTTTTTAAGATTTTATTTATTTACTCAGAGAGAGAGAGGCAGAGGCACAGGCAGAGGGAGAAGCAGGCTCCATGCAGGGAGACCCATGTGGGACTCGATTCCGGGTCTCCAGGATCACGCCCAGCGCTAAACTGCTGAACCACCAGGGCTGCCCCAGGACTTGTTTCTTAATTACAGAATTGAATATGCAAGGGGGAAATAAGAGTCTGGGTCTGCCTACACTAAGACTGCTAATTCCTGCCATAGAAGAGAGAGTCTTTGGTTCAAGTGAGGTGGTCATGTGCCTTGTATAAGAAGATAGAAGTCAAAAACAGAAGAATCTTTGGTCTTTGGTATGAGAGAGCTTGCCATAATTGTTTGCAAAAAAAGAAGTGTGGGGTTTGATTTTTATGAAAGTTCTGAAATCACTATTTTGTTAAATTACTTTCTGAAAATATGCCTTTGTGGTCTTTAGTTTTTGTACCATTTCATAAAATTGTTTTTTATATTTAAGAATTTAAGTTGAACTGGCAAGGGACAGAGACTATTTGTGGAGACTATATATAAATTTCTATATTTTGTTTTTATTAATATCTTAATGATGAACTTAAAAGCAACACTTTGATTTTTTAAAAATACTGTAAATTAAACAAATATCATTAATTATCAGGTATGGCAATGTGGTGGGCAGTTGGAGATTATGCCTTGCTCTGTTGTTGGACATGTTTTTCGCAGCAAAAGCCCTCATACCTTTCCAAAAGGCACTCAGGTGATTGCTCGCAACCAAGTTCGCCTTGCAGAAGTCTGGATGGATGAATACAAGGAAATATTTTATAGGAGAAACACAGATGCAGCAAAAATTGTTAAACAAGTAAGTTAGAGCTAAATAATTAAGTTACAATAAAAGTCCACACCAAGTTCACATATTCTTTTTCTTATTTGAGTCAGTTTAAGTATAAAACTTTTTTTTAAAAAAGATTTTATTTATTTGAGAGAGAGAGATGGAGAATAGCAAGAGAGAACGTGAACAGGGGGGAGAGGAAGAAGCAGGCTCTCCGCTGAGCAGAGACCCATGATCGTGGGCAGACACTTGACTGAGCCACCCAGGTGACCCCAAGTAAAAAACTTTTTTAGAATTTATTTTTTAAGTTTTTTTAAATGCAAGATATATAACTCATTGATGCCAGTTTTTTCTTTTTTTTAAGGAAAAATCAAACTGCTTTTTAAAAAAAAACTCAGGCATTCCCCTTGTTGCTCTTTAAAATGGAAGATATTGGGGCACCTGGGTTGGCTCAGCGGTTGAGCCTCCGCCTTTGGCTCAGGGTGTGATCCTGGAGTCCCGGGATCGAATCCCAGGATGGAGTCCCACATCGGGCTCCCTGCATGGAGCCTGCTTCTCCCTCTGCCTGTGTCTCTGCCTCTCTGTGTGTGTCTCTCATGAATAAATAAATAAATAATCTTTAAAAAAAATAAAATGGAAGATATTTAGTTTTTGTGACTGCCTTGGTTCAGTATTTTCCTCAAACTAAGATTAAGTGGAACCACTTTTAACTGGTTTTGGGAGATGTGATTGACACCTAAATAAAGGTGCTAAGTTGGTTTTTGAACTGGGTATGGAGACAGTGTCAGAATGTGGCAGGAGAATAAACCCAGGAATATCAAGGCTTTTTTTCTTTCAAGGTCTGGTTCCACTGCTTGCTGGGTTACCTCGGCAGAGCCCCCTTTGCAACTGTTAAATGGGATGACACTCTATAGGGTGGTCGAGAGATTGGCTCAACACAGGGTGTGTGCTCAGCCAACCTTTTCTCTGCTTTCCCGTCTTGAGAGGCGAAATACTTGCCTGTCTCCCAGAGTAGTTATGGCACTCTTGTTACTGATCTCACATGGATAAAAGCTCTGCAGAATTATGATGCCTAAGACATTGGAACTGAGCTCCAGCAGGTTCAGTACTGGCTGTAGTTAATGAACTAGACTTTTAGGAATGTGCTTCAGTGAATGGCACCCAACCCTCTGTAAGAAACAGTGCTGATTTTAAGAGGGTATATATTGAAATTAAAGGGCATCAACATTTTGACTGTTATAACAAAAGGTCTGGTTACCTCTTTCCAGCTTTTCTCTCCAGTATCTCCCTGTAACATGTCAGTAAGATGCAAAGTCAGAGCATGCCTGGGTCAGATAGCCATCTTTTTATTTAAGGCCACCAGGCCAAATTGGGCAGACTGTGTACTGCACACGGGTCCTTGGCCAAGCAGATAAGCATGTGCTAACTGCAGCTTACGCTCCCTTATCACTCACAAGGGGGGAAGTGAACCAGTAAACCCCTATTTTTACCACAGGGCAAACAGATCTTGTGATAAAATGTATAACCTAGCCAGAAGTCCTTTAGAGTTTTATACATTTTGCAAAAACTTAGACATTGGCAGAGAAAATATTTACCTTAATTGAAATTTAAACTTTTTCATATTTAGGTAACAAATATAATTTTTCTTTAAAACTTTGCCTATAGACCAAATATATTTTCAGTTTAATAGTGTTCTTTGAAAATTGTTTTCTTGGGGCACCTGGGTGGCTCAGTGGTTGAACATCTGCCTTCACCTCAGATCATGATCCCAGGGTTCCGGGATTGAGTCCCGCATCAGGCTCCCTGCATGGAACCTGCTTCTCCCTCTGCCTGTGTCTCTGCCTCTCTGTCTCTCTGTGTCTCTCATGAATAAATAAAATCTTAAAAAAAATATTTTAGAACTGGTTCAATTAGTGCAGAGCCCGAGGTGGAGCTCATTCTACAACTTGAGCTAAAATCAAGGGCCACACTTATCTGAGCCACACAGGTGCCCCAGCAACTATTTCTTTATACCTGCTTCCTCACACCTCACTTTACAGATCATTTTTGGACATAAAATTAGGATCAATTTTGAATTCTCCCACTACCATTTCTCTAGAGATCTTTGCCTCATGAGGGAGGTTGAATAGCACAAAGAAAGAATAAAATAACATTATGTGAGCACCCACCGTGGTAACTTAATTCTCTTTCAAGGCAGAAACAAGCAGGCAGGCATCTTTATTGCCTGAATAAACGGTGAATGCAGTTAAATTACATCTTATATTTTGGCCTAGAATTTTTTTAAGACACAAATATAAATGCAAATCATAGCATTTGAACTTCTTTATCAGTACTGTTTTGATTAAGCATTCTTTTTACTTCTCATCTTTCTCTAGAAATCATTTGGTGATCTTTCAAAAAGATTTGAAATAAAGCACCGCCTTCAATGTAAAAATTTTACATGGTATCTGAATACTATTTATCCAGAAGCATATGTGCCAGACCTTAATCCTGTTATATCTGGATATGTGAGTATTTTCCTGATCCTTTTTACTTGGTATATGCCTCACCACAGATATTTACGTAGTACAGGGAAAATTGCTGAAATACTTTTTGGTTTATGGCTTTTAAGATTTCACATTACTATTTATTAATACTATTTCCTGAAATTATTTGAAAAAAATATCAACCACATAGATTAAAACGCTTTTTTTTTCCCTTTAGATAAAAAGCATTGGTCAGCCTCTGTGTCTGGATGTTGGAGAAAATAATCAAGGAGGCAAACCATTAATTTTGTACACGTGTCATGGACTCGGGGGAAACCAGGTGAGCCCTGCACTACTCAAAGTCCTCCCTTCTCACTGGCACTTACAGACACGAGTAGGTTGTCAGAAGTCCCAAATCAGCTTTGTACTCAGTTAAATGAGTGTTTAAAATGTTTTAGGTTAAGTTTGGCAATTAATATTAAAGTTGCTGAGTACTTGATTCTGACTTCATTCTGATTCTGAAAACAATTTGAAATGGCTTACCCATTCTGTAAAAAGGCAGATGAGAAAATAATAGAACAAAGCCATTTGACATTTAAAAATGGGATCTTCTGTATGGATCTTTGATGTTAGGACACTACTGGCAAGGTGATTTTGCAAAATTATGCATAAAGGCTGTATTTATTTAACTGACTAAATAGCAAGTTCTAGGGCAGCCCTGGTGGTGCAGCGGTTTAGTGCTGCCTGCAGCCCAGGGTGTGATCCCAGAGACCTGGGATCTAGTCCCACTTCGGGCTCCCTGCATGGAGCCTGCTTCTCCCTCTGCCTGTGTCTCTGCCTCTCTCTCTCTCTCTCTCATGAATAAATAAAGAAAATCTTTAAAAAAAAAATAGCAAGTTCTATTCAGTGTTAATACCAAAAGAGCAGTATTATAAGTTCTTTGCAAGTCGTGATATTTCAATATGTTGTTAGGTAAAGGCATGTTCTTGATTATCCTCCACTGATGATATATCTGCTTGTTACCACTCTTTGTTTAAACAGTCAAGACTCAAATGTCACATGTCACTACTTGGCCTACTCTGGGCACAGAACTTATTAAAATATCATTTCTAGTATTTAGCTTCTTGCCTTGCCTTTTACAAGTTAACTCCTGGAAAGATTGGATTCTTTCATTTGTTCATTCAACAAATTCACTGAGTGACCCCTGCTTGCAGGATATTCTACTGGGTTCAAGCAATTTAGATTCTAACTCTTGCAGGAAATCTACACTTCAAAGACAGTGGTTACAGTCAGCATGATAAGGTCTGGGATAAAGCATTCAGACTGCTTTATGGAGGAGGGCATCTGAATGGATTAGGCTGGATGCCCATACATTTTCCTTGGAAAGAGGACATTTGAAAACACTTTTTGGAAGGTGCCTAGGAGTTAGTGAGAACCTGGTGGGAATGAGAGCTTGTATTCTTGAAGGAGAAGAAAAACATATGTAATTTTGGGCATAAAGAAAAATGAAACAGGATAGGTGGATAATGTGAACATGTGGGAGGGGGAGGGGTGTTTGTTTTTGGAGGTTCAGGAAGACTTCTTTGAGAAGGCAACATCGGAGTAGAGGCTTAAAGGATCTGGGGAGGAACCGTGTTCCAGCAGAGGGGGTGCATGGTGAGAGGCCGGTTGCAGGTAAATGGAGCCGTCAGAAAGCCAGTGTGGCCGCAGCAGAGTGGTCCAGGAGGACAGACAGGGTGGGAAACAAGGTCAGAAATGTTGATAAAGGGGCCTGGTCATAGAAAGCTTTGCAGGCCTCCCCTAGTAAACTTGGATTTAATTCTGTGCGTGATAGAAGCCATCTGAAGGTTTTGAGCAGGAGAATAATATTTCCTGGTTTATATTTTAAGAAAATGGGGACTCCTGGGTGGCTCAGTGGTTGAGCATCTCCCTTTGGCTCAGGGCATGATCCTGGAGTCCTGGGATCAAGTTCTGTATCCGGCTCTCCATAGGGAGCCTGCTTCTCCCTCTGCCTATGGTTCTGCCTCTCTCCCTATGTCTCTCATGAATAAATAAAATCTTTAAAAAAAAAAAAAGGAAGAAAATGACTCTGATTTCTAGCACTATAATATAGCCATCGGTTTTATTTTGGTTTATTCCCTTTAATTTTTTTTTTAAATTAAGCACTGCATTTGAACTCCTTTGCCAATTTACTTGAGCACTAAGTGTTTTAGAGCTATCATCCAACTTGATCATTTCTTTATGCTCCCTTTTACTGTTTTGACCAGATAATGATATTTTTGTAACATAAAACTCCACTGTAACAGCACTTGTATATGCCAAGTAAAAATAAGTGTTTTGGGGATGCCTGGGTGGTTCAGCAGATAAGTGTCTGCCTTCGGCCCAGGGCATGAGCCTGGAGTCCCGGGATCGAGTCCCACATCGGGCTCCCTGCATGGAGCCTGCTTCTCCCTCTGCCTGTGTCTCTGCCTCTCTCTCTGTCTCTCATGAATAAATAAATAAAATCTTTAAAAAATAAATTAAAAATTAAAAAAGTATTTTGGTAATATGGCTCTGTTGACCAATATACTGGTGCAATGCACTGTTAGTCATTATGGTTTTGTAGCACTTAATGCTTTGCTTCTCTGGCTTTCTATTCCAGGGTATTCGTCCTCATTCTAGGTTATGTCTCTCCAGTGTTTCCAGGTGGCTATTTACATATTCTTTTTGGTTGCCCAAGTATCTTCAACTACTTCCTGTTCTTTATAACTTGCCTTTCAAGGCTTAAAAAAAAAATAATGTGGGTGAAGTAAAATACTGGACAGACTTTAGTACCATCTTTGAAATCCTAAGATTTATCTTTCTTAAAGAAGTATAACCAAAGTGCTGTTTTCATGATCTCCTCTCATTTTCATTCAGTGTCTCCATCTGAAGAACTATCGGTTATAAAAATGATGGATATATTTGTGGAAGGAGCTAAATTAAGCATGAGGCCAAGACCAGGGGAATTCAAGATTAATTCAGCTAATGTTTGTGGAGTGCACATAAAGGGGTTAGAACAGCCCCTGCTTAGCCCATAATAAGGGCTCAATAAATATTATTGCTAAGACTAATTATTTCATTATTGAAAATCCATTACGTTCACTTATTTTATCTTTGGAATGTCAACATTATGACATATTTGCTTTGTAGTGGATGTTATTACAAGATACGCTGCCTGACTTTGGTCCATGGTAAAGCCAGTAGCTACTAGCACGCACAATTCCAATAGAATGCTACCAAAGTTATTTCTGGTGTACCATAGGAACCCTGGAAAAGGCTGTAATCTCGTTCAGTACGACAAGCTCAGGGAAACTAAAGAAGCAAAGTAACATTTGAATTGACTTTCAAAGGATTAAAAAGGAATTTGCTGGGCAGAGGAGGATCCAGAAGGATATTTTAGGCAAAACACAGTAAAGCAGCCTTAGAGTTATGGGTGCACGTGTTCTGCATTGGTAAAATTGTGTGAAAAGAGCATGCTGTACAGTGCAGGCAGTGGTTGATAGAAGCTTGAAAACGGAAGAATTCATGTACTAGTTAAGGAGTGTGGACTTCTCTAAGCAACAGTAGTGACTCACTCAAGTAAGGGAGGTAGGGCATCAGGTAGGTGTTATGAAAGACTAACTGGCAGCAGAGTGAAATTGCAGAAATTGCAGGTAGCTTGACCTATTACGGTAGAGATTCTGAGTGCCGGAATAAGAGAAGTGGGGTACAGAGCAAAGTGGGATGGTGACATCTGAGAGGGAAATTCAATAGAACTAAGGAACTAATTAGTTCATTGAACATAATGGAGAGAAAGAAACATTAATCCTGGTAATAATAGCTAAGATGAATTAAAAGCTTACCATGTACCAGTTATTGTTCTGAGTGTTTTAACATATATTAACCCTTTTATCTTCATAACCCTGTGAGGTAGGAACCCATTTTCACAGGCAAGGAAACTGAGACATGGAGAGTACCTCATTTACTTATTCCTAGTGTTAATAGAAACTCCATTAGTTGAGATGAATAAGAGAGAAGGAACACTTATGGAGAGAAAGGAGCAGTTAATGTGCTTGCTAGACGTTTCCGGGTCCTTTCCTGTGTTGTACCTGTCCTAGCTAACCTCCATCCCACCTGCTTACTCCCCATTTCTGACATGGGAGGAAGATAGTCTCTTACATAACTACCTGCTGGTGATAGGCTGGGAAAGGGTTATAGCATTTTCTGTCATTAAAAGCTCAGCTTATGTTTCTAATACCTTTTTTTTTTTTTAGTATTTTGTTGAGTACACAAACAAAATAATGACTTCATTATTAAGAGGGTTGCTCATTTTTTAAAAATCAGTATTATTGGACCATTATCTTGCAGCTGAGGATATATGATGAGTATACAGGTCAGTAATAGCATTGTTCTTTTCACAGTATTTTGAATACTCGGCTCAACATGAAATTCGGCATAACATCCAGAAGGAATTGTGTCTTCATGCTGCTCAAGGTCTTGTTCAGCTGAGAGCATGTACCTACAAAGGTCACAGGACAGTGGCCAGTGGAGAGCAGATATGGGAGATCCAGAAGGTACCTCAGAGCAATTAATTCATCCCTTTATGTAATTATTTTGATTAGCTCTAATTGCTTATCTGGGAAAATGCATTAAAATAGCATATTAATGTTATCCATCAGAATTTCTCTTTGTTAACTTTGTTATTGTGTAAGTCTATCAATGTGATTGATAAGATAGAATGAATCCATGCATAGTGAAAACATGATTTATGCAGATCAACACTTTTGTGCATTAATAATAGTTGCTCATATTTGTCTTTTTAGAGTTTCTTACAGTGCTTCTGGCAACAGTCACATTTTAAAAATCATGGCAGAGAGAAAAAAAACCATTATCTTTCTCTCACCTAAAGTGATCCTTTTCTCCTCTTGTAGTACTTTTTTTTAAATATGAATTTAGAATTGAGAGAATACGCAAAAGATCTTTTCTGTTTTTAAATCTGTGTGTTAAGGCTTAGCTGGGATATAGCAATTCTTACCTAAAAATTGTTTTGTGCCCTACTAGAACACTAAAAGACTGATTTTTATAACATATTTTTTAAAGAATTTGTCACGGATATACCGATGGGATGGTTCTTACTTGAAAATGTGATTCACACCTTACTCTCTGTACATATATTTATGTACTACCTTCTGTGAATTGAACAAGTAGTATCATAAATGGTATTGTTTACAACAGAAACCAACAAGATCTTATCAGACAAGGCTGACCTGAGAAAGATTAAAAATTGAGAATAGTGTACATTTGGTAGGTCAGTCTCCTTTAGCTTAGATAAGGTCATAATGTAGTTTTCATGTTTATCAGTTAACTGTGAATCTTGAAATTTAATGCCTGTTGTGTTTCTTTTTTTTCCTAGGATCAACTTCTATATAATCCATTCTTAAAAATGTGCCTTTCAGCAAATGGAGAGCATCCGAGCTTAGTGTCATGCAATCCATCAGATTCACTCCAAAAATGGATTTTTAGCCAAAATGATTAAGTGTTCCTTAAAATTAAGGAGTTGAAAAAGGAGATATTCTTTCTCATAAAACTGTGACTAGGCATACACTGTAGTTTTTGAAAATTATGCAAAAGCAGCTAATTGTAACTTATTCCAAGTGCATTTTTCTTATTTATATCTTAAAATATCTATGTAGCACTGCTACAGAAATCTTTTTAAGTTTCCGTTTCAAAGCACAATGACTAATAATACCAAAGACTATTTTGAAATGTCCAGATGTAGGGAAAGAGATGTTTACAGTATGATGAAAATAATTTTCTAAGTAAAGTGATATGTGTGTGTTTTGTACCTTAAAGATATGCATAGCTACATTCGCACACTCACAATTTAAAATATTTCTTCTAGCTTTTTGGGGGGAGGGAGAAAGATTTGATATTGTATTTTTTTAACTACATAGAAATGGATCAATGAAGGTCAAGCATTGGCCTTTGTGTACAAACCAGGAAACTTTTATAGATCTAGAATTTATTATATAAAAAAATGCAGGTAAACTTATTTGCCTTTTGTTTACTTATCTGTCATAGGATTCCTTAAACATAAAATTAAATGAATAAGGAGAATATTTTTAACACTTCAATATCTTGGCAAATTTTAAAATATTTTTTAGTCTGAAGCCCACTTGACTTGAAGCACTTAAATCTTCCTTAAAAGACATTTCTTAAATAACTATACTGTGTGTTTTCCCAAAGCAATTAAAAAAAAAAAAAAAACAGGTGTCTTTTCTTTCTGCTGGTCTTTTTTTCTTACCAGAATTCACTAATCTTGAATGTTTGTGAGATTGAATTTCAAATGCAGAATACTTGACTCATTTAAGACCTAAAATTTTATTTCTTACTGATTCAATCTAGATTGTCTTTGTAAAGAATTTTTTTTCATCAAAAAAGCCTTCTATGTGGAAAACACAATAAAATGAATCCTTATCACTGTTGTAATTATTTGCTTTAAATTTCTTTCCTCTTTTGGATAAAATATATAATTCATGTTAGATGAGGGGAGCATGAATTTTGCATACTTAATTTCTGAGTACCTGTCATAGAGTCCTCAGATATTTCTTAGGGAGTACTCAAGTATTTCGTGATAATGGCATAAAGAATAGGGAATGGACAAGATTCTATGCTAGATATTTTGAAGTTTTATATGAAATTCTGATATTCCCTGAACATCTGATAAAGTAATTTTTAAAAGATGTGATACCAAAAAAAAAAAAAAAAGATGTGGTACCTGCATAGATTTAACACTCTTTTCTTTTTGGTCCATTTTACATAGAGATCTCTTATATTCTTATTCAAGAAGTAAAGTATGATTAGCTTCATATTTTAAATATTGCTGACAGTTGTACTAAAGAAAATATTTTTAAATTATCGGTCCCATCGTCTCACTATTTGTAACTTTGAACTTGCATTAAAAGACCTGCATTCTTGGGGTCTGGGGGTGCCTGGGTGGCTTAGCAGTCAGTGAGCAACCAACTTTTGGTTTCTGCTCGGCTCATGATCTCGGGGTCGTGATCTCCAATTCTGAGGCTGAGCCCAGCCTTCACGCTCTGTGCAGAGTCTGCTGAAGATTCTTTGCCCTCCCTCTCTTTTCCTCTCTGCTCTTCCCCAACTCACATGCAGTACCCCCTTCTCTCAAATAAATAAATGAAATCTTAAAAAAAAAAAAGACCTGCATTCTTTATTACAATGCCAACATTTATTTCAATACAACTAACATTTATTATATGTCTGGCTTATGCCAAAGTTATGATAGGCAGGATAAGTCTTATATTGCCTCTGGGCTTAGGTCTTATGGAACAGAAAGACAAATAATTTTGAAATAGCGTAGGAACATCTGGGTGGTTCAGTCAATTAAGCAGCTGCCATAGGCTCAGATCATGATCTCAGGGTCCTGGAATCGAGTCCTGCATTGGGCTTCCTGTTCAGTGGGGAGTCTGCTACTTCCTTTCCCTCTGTCTGTCCCCCCATTATGGGGTCTCTCTCTCTCTCAAATAAATAAAATCTCTAAAAGTTTTCTTTTGAAATAGCATAGTGAATGACATTATGATTTATATTTCACGATATGACAGCCTATTCATATTTGATATTTCTTTACTAAGATATTTTTATTACTATAACTAAATACTAATATGTATTGTGAAATACGCACTGATGCTCACTTACATGCACAATTTCTGTTTCTCAAGTTGTTACTCTAAACATCCAGGAGCAAATGCTGCTCTTAGAGTTCACTATATCTAACAAAACAAATCCTCAAAGATATTTGGTAATGAAAATGTATAAAAGCAGATTTTTAAAAAAATTCTGAGTGCCTCCGTGTGTTAGTCATGTGTTGTCATGTCAAGACTCAAACCAAACCTGTTTAGATTAGTTGGTTTTATTATGGCTGTATTAAATGCATCAAAGGCAGAGGCCTTCTTACCCGATTTGGGAGCCTCAGGCTTGTTCAAGTGTCAGAACTGACTTCATTAGGGACTTAGCCTTCAGGGTAGAGGTAGTATCTTTTGAAAGTCTGAGTTTTGAAACAATGCTCACAGGAATCTATTTATGAAGTCTGGTTTGCCACCTACCTGAGAGATTTGAATACACGTAAGTGTGAAATTGTGGAGCTCTTGCTCAATTTCAAGCGACCATGGCAAATAGTCTAATTGCTTCACAAGACCCGGCATGTTGCCTTCATTCCAGAGGACCGAGTCCCCAGAGCTCTAGATTAGTAAGCTAGCTACACTGCCAAACCTGCTAGGGTTAACCTGATGGCTGGGTTTACTTAAAGCCACATGTGACTAGTCACAAGAGAAAATAAGCAATATACTAAAATTGTTTATTACTATAACCAATGATGATAAACTTTGAAGTCCATATATTGCCAGATAATTGGCTTTACTGTTGTTAGACAATGGTTGTTTATTTTTTTATTTATTCATGAGAGACACACAGAGAGGGGCAGAGACATAGGCAGAGGGAGAAGCAGGCTCCACGCAGGGAGCCCAACATGGGACTCAATCCTGGGTCTCCAGGATCAGCCCAGGGCTGACGACTGCACCAAACCGCTGAGCCACTAGGGCTACCTGTTTTGTTTTGTTTTGTTTTGTTTTGTTTTTTTGTAAGATTTTATTTATTTATTCATGAGAGACACACAGAGAGAGAGGCAGAGACACAGGCAGAGGGAGAAGCAGGCTCCCTGTGGGGAGCCCGATGTGGAACTCAATCCCAGGACCCCGGGATCTTGACCCGAGCCAAAGGCAGACGCTCAACCACTGAGCCACCTGGGTGCCCCTGTTATTAGGCAATTTAATTAAATCCTATGTAAGCCATCAAAATATAAGTGCAAAAATACAAGGAGCTGTTATTTAAAAAAAAAAAAAAACAAGGTTGAATGCTTTTGGGGAAAAAAAAGTCAAAATATTTTTTAAAAATGCAAAGTTATGTGCATGCGAACTATAATAGAAAAACAAATAGAAGATTCGGCACTCAAATTGCTTCCAATTTACTTTTTTAAAAAGCAAACCAGGGATCCCTGGGTGGCGCAGCGGTTTGGCGCCTGCCTTTGGCCCAGGGCGCGCGATCCTGGAGACCCGGGATCGAATCCCACGTCGGGCTCCCGGTGCTTGGAGCCTGCTTCTCCCTCTGCCTGTGTCTCTGCCTCTCTCTCTCTCTGTATGACTATCGTAAATAAATTTAAAAAAAATTACAAAAAAAAAAAACAAACCAAAGTATCTTCGGACAATGCATTTTTAGTGTGGTTTGTGCAGGAAAGATGTTGCATAATTCTCAGAAACCAATTCATACTCAAAAGGCCTTGGTCTTTCAATGGAATGTTTGTGAAGAAATTCATATACATACAAATGTAGGAATGAATGTGTGTGTTTGAAGTTAGTAGTATTTGATATATATCTTTTTTTTAATGGTTTTCTATTTTACCTACATTTTTCAAATTATCACTTATCAGCCCAACTGCATTGGAGAGCTTTTCCCTGCACACATGTGTAGTCCCTTTGCTCTTCAATATTCAACAATATTTAGGAGATATCATTTGTGTTTTTGTGATTGGAGTAGGCATCAGGGACTAATGATACACAAAATGGCCCTCATCTTAAAGAACTCCACAGTCCAGCAATGAGGTATTGTAACAATGATATTTTGGAGAGAAACAGTCCATGAGGAGTCAACACCTTCAGCCTTCAGTGAGTCCATTGCCAGGAGCAAGAGGAGAAAAAATAGTGCCTTGTATTTTAGGGGTAAATAGATAGAGTCATGCTTCTCAGACTTTATGTGCACACCTGGAGATCTTATTAAAATGCAGATTCTGATTCATTACATCTGCGTAGAACCTAGGAGTCTGTATTTCTTTTTCTTTTTCTGTATTTCTCATAAAGCTCATAGACGAGGTCAAGGCTTCTGGTCCTGGAACCACACTTCGAGTAGAAAGACTACTCCCTGGACCAATGTCTAGGATTCTTTGACACTATCACAAGACTTCCATTATGTTTTACATCCCTGGTTCCTTCAGGCATCACCATACAACAGTGCTCTCTGTTGTCCTTTGCTGCCATTATGGTTCTCTGGCGATTCCCACATCTTTTGTGTATCCCTAGCTTGGCCAACTCCTCCACCCATCACCTACTCTGTCCATCGCCTTCTACTCCGGTTCTTTGATCAGAAAACTCCCTTGTGTCAACAACCTGACAAACAACAAATTCTATTCTTTGTCTTAACTTAAGCTGGACATCTATGGACACTTCTTATTCCTATCTAAGGGCTGTTGTTTTTGTTTTCTATCATTCTTCTTCTGCTTCAAAATGAGGATTTGAAGTAGGTGCATCCTTTCTTCAAAAATGTCCCATGAAGACCATGCCATGTGGATATATTATCCGCCCTTTCTAGCTGTCGTCAGCTATAAGTCTATAGATCATTTCTCTTGATTCATTCTTTTCATTCATTCAATATTTTAGAACTTTTTTGACTTTCTTTCTTTCTCTTTTTTCTTTCTTTCTTTCTTTCTTTCTTTCTTTCTTTCTTTCTTTCTTTCTTTCTTTTTCTTTCTCTCTCTCTTTCTCTCTTCTTTCTTTCTTTCTTTCTTTCTTTCTTTCTTTCTTTCTTTCTTTCTTTCTTTCTTTTCTTTCTTCTCTTTACTTCTTTATACCCCTACTTCTATCATGTTCATGGGTGACTTCAACATCCATGCAAATAACTCCAGCATCTGTGCTCTAATTACTTGACCACCATATTTCTTCCCTTCAGCATCACTAATAACCATTTTTTTCTCTGATAGTTTGATCATTCATAAACTCTCTAACTACCACTTCTTGTCCTTCTGATTCATTCATGCTAGTCCTTCCTCTTAAAGAAAGTCCCCTATGTCTTTGAGACCTCCAAACCATTGATCTTGTTATTCACTATCAACAACTTAGTCCACACCTAACTGCTGATCCAGAATGGTTTGTTTTTCATCATTATAATAGTTATAATGAGAATTGCCACTCTCAATTCACATGTTCTTTTTTTTTTAAGATTTTATGTATTCATGAGACATACAGAGAGAGTGGCAGAGACACAGGCAGAGGAGAAGAAGGCTTCCTGCAGGGGACCCAGTGTGATACTGGGTCCTGGGTCTCTGGGATCACACCCTGAGCCAAAGGCAGATGCTCAACCACTGAGCCACTCAGGCATCCCTCAATTCACATGTTCTTTTCTCCATCATTCTTACTTGAAAAACTCCAAACCCTGGATAAATCCAAGTATTTACAAAATATTTGCATCCTTTACCCTTGTATCCTAGCAGTTGGCATCCTGGGATAACACCCTTATTACCATCGATCTGGGAATACTCCTCTCTTTTTCTCTTGTGTGGATTTTATGCCTTCCTCCTTTTTGGTTTGCTTCCTCATTTGGGAGTACAACATTTGGCAATTTTTTGTGGAAGGGTT